CACCTGTGTGAGGTGTGTGGAAGAGAGGGTGACACGGGGCCGTTGTACTTTTTTGTTGACCGCAAGACTACAATTGCTTCGATTATAACAATGTATATGTCTGAGAACAGAGTTTTTTCATTCAACTATCATACTACGAAACAGAGCTTTGGATATCAGCAAGTACTTTTTTAGCGTGTCATACAACAGCAAACAGGCCCGGCCTCAGCCTCTCAGCGACTTAGTTTGTTTCCTGCTGTCGCTACAGGCACGAAGGCCACTTCCGGGTTCCGCTGACGTGCTTTCTCCGCTGGCACCAGTGAGTTTGCAGTGGCTGCCGTTTGTTGTACACCTAGCATGACAATTAGCCTAAATACTAAATGTATCGCTGGTTGTAGACCCTTGCAGGGATCCAAATGAAGCTCTCCTGCTGTGTGTTTGTCTGAACTTGGCCTGATCGGTAGGTAGACCTTCTGCTAGTATCATTCTTTCTGAATGTTCTTAACCTAGTATTGTTATCGTAACATCACCTTAAACTTAATGTCTGCTAGGCTCTGCGCTGGAAGCGTGATAAAGGACTGCTGTTTTGCCTCCACGTCTGTTTTGCCTCCACGTCTGTTTTGCCTCCACGTCTGTTTTGCCTCCACGTCTGTTTTGCATCCACGACTACTCTACTCTACGAGTGTCTTGCCTGCCTGACTGTTGCCTGGACGGCTGGTCTGCCCTCACGGCTGTGTCTGTCTGCACAGCCGGCTTGCCTGCCCTGCTGTGCTTCGCCGCTACACCGCTGCCTGGCGGGTGTTGCTCTTGGCCTACATTGTCTGTACCGGCCTCTTGGTATCACTGTGCCTTTGCTCTTCATTACAGGGCCATATTTTAAACATTGTTATCGCAGACTGTTCGATTAATCTCTGTTCATGATCAGTTATTTAATTGAGTTAAGTTTGTTTTGTTTATTTAATTCAAGATTAAGTAGACTGTTAGGTTGATTTTCGTTTCTTTGGTTTAGTTTTCGACCCTGTTGCTTTAAATTTGTTTTGTTTATTTCAGTTAATATCAGTTACTTGAATTCAGGATTTTGTAGTATTCTTGACTTTTTATTGTCTTATACTTATCTTATGTGTTGGTCTGTGTATTCATTTGTGTTTACTCTTTATCCCAGTAATTGTTTATTGTTTGCCCCTCTTAGTTGCTGAGAGCCAAAGGTGTGGTGCTGGTGTCCCCGGTGGTGGCTTCCCCCTTTGTGTGTCGTGCTGTGTTCCCCCTGATTTGTGTTCCTTCGTGTGAGTGTGTAGTGATCACGGGTGCCTTAATTTACTTTGTTGGGATCCCTCTCACCCCTCGTCACCTCCATCCACTGGTAAGCCTAAGCATCCCTGAATTAAGAGTTCCCCCCTTTATTTTCAGTGTGTATAATGATCTCATGGTGTTTTTAATGATATTTTAATGCCAGAAATAAAACATTTGATACATTGGAACCACGTCTCCTGCCCCTCAGTATCACGAACCTGAGTGCCCTGTTGGTACTTGGAATAATTATTTCCTTCGGTGCAATTCCCAAGGTGGCGTTGTCTGGCTTTTAGTTGAATAGGATTTCCAACAAACACCCCCCCACATGCCGCCACACTTAGTTGAATACTCAATTCTGATTGTACATTCTTAACATGTGACACGTTGTTAATACAGACCGCTGTCAAGGACTATAATGAAGGTTGCTAAGGAGGATCAAGAAAGAGAAAGGAAAAGAGGTTAAAGACGGAGCGCTGGACGTCAGATAAATCACCAGAAGATGACAGACAGGAAGTAAACAATAACAGGACACGGAATGGGCTCTGTATTTTGTTTAGTATATGGCCGTGTACAGGCCCGGTTCCAGAACAAAATGACTCAGGGTGCCTCTGAAATTACAGGGGGCGCAGTAGTAGCAGGTTTACATGGGCAATAGTGGCCGGCAACAGCAATGAAAAATAGCATTGATGGTCCCAATGAACAGATTATGGCATGTGTTATGTTTTGAAATCAAGCAAGTGAGAACATTTCAAGTGAGTTAAAAGTGCAATCCTGAAATATTTCATATAGTCCAAAGTGGACTATGGCAAGGAAAAGCACAAAAGCTTCAAAACTGTAGTGATAAAACAAATGAGAACATAGCTTTCTTAACGCTAATGTTATAATAGTCAGATTGCTCTGAAGATGGAGGTGATATTCTATTAATGTTCACGTTCAGACAGTCGGTGATTTTTGCCGGCCGTCTTTCCTGCAACGGCAGTTTTTCTGTATTTCCTTTCTCCTGTAATATGACTTGATCGCTTTAAACTCCGCACACTGAGCTCTGATTGGTCAGCAGGCGGTGCTTTCACTGAGTTGATCTCTTAGCCTGCAACTTAACCTGGGGGGTATACTACGAAGCAGGATTTTCGCTTAGCGGCTAACTTCAGGGAAAACTCGGGGTTTCCGGTCCTGCGACGCTGGTTCTCTTTTTAACGGGCTAGATCTCCATGGTAACTTATGCTGAGCGGCTAACCTGCCCCGGAGCAGGTTAGGTTGCAGGTTAAGAGCTCAACTCAGTGAAAGCACTGCCTGCTGACCAATCAGAGCTCAGTGTGCGGAGTTTAAAGCGATCAAGTCATATTACAGGAGAAAGCTGCCGTTGCAGGAAAGACGGCCGGCAAAAATCACCGACTGTGTGAACGTGAACATTAATAGAATATCACCTCCATCTTCAGAACAATCTGACTATTATAACATTAGCGTTAAGAAAGCTTACTTAAATATCTGCCACAACACACATAACCGGATCAGAGTAACATTAAGTAGCCTACAGCAGGGCTCGAGCTTAAGGACGTCCTGTCGTCCCGGGGCCGAAAAAAATAGTGTCAGGGAGGATAACAAATAATTTTGGGACGAATTTGGGACCAGAATTCAAATAAAAATACCCTGCTAACTCTACTACAAACGGCAATGAAAATGAAACCAACTGCACGTGTTGTGTAGTAGCACACAGTTATTAAACGTCCTTATCAACATAAATGCACACGCACAAAACATTTAGCAACCTGCGAAATACACACACACACACACACACACACACACACACACAGTACGTAGCTACAGCAATGGCATCCCGTGGAGGAATTCTGAAATGTTTTACCGTTACATCACAAAAACGCACAGCAGAACCAGACCCTGGAGCGCCGGCCTCTTTATTTACTTACTCCTCTTCATCCCCTATGGGTAATAAGGCTGAGATGAGAACTCTCCATCGTATTTAGTCCTTAGCAATATGCTGCGCCTCTCCCCATGTAGGGATGAGTACCGAGCCTCGGTATTAAATGGGCCCCGGGCCGGAATTATTAAAGACAGTGGTAACGTTAAGCTCCGACGTTATTGGACTTTTTATCGGTAGGCCTACTGGAGACATTTAAAAAATATATGTTGTATACTTATTGCTACATACACATTATATCGCAGTTTTAGGTTCGCCAACTCCGTTTCTAATATGCAATAAGACTACAACATGCGTCTATGATGTATTTTCGAGCTTTCCAATCCAGACGTCTGTGTGCGAGGGGGCGGGGCAGTTTGTAAAGGTCTCCTGACTGTGTTACAGACTGTCATCCTGGTTAGTGGTTACTCTGGGTTCTGTCTTCAGGACAGAGTGTTGGATTTTTTTGTTAATTGGATGGGACTTGATTGGATTCAATATTAGAGTAATTTTCTCGTTTGTGTGTTTGGTGAAAAAAGTTAGTCGAGAGCCCTACAGTCCGCGGCATATCACATCGTAATGTATCATATATTTCCTTATCTGAGTCAGCTGAGCCGTATCTGGCCGTGCAACACTCACAGTGTCACATACTGTATGCAGAAGTATTATTTTAAGCAACACATTAAGTTGAGGAAACACTCGAGTCAAATGTAATTAAAGTCAGATCGTGTCTTAGACGGGGCAGTGATATCATAAACCTGTTAATGTATGCATTCAAACACTTGTTCTGTTACCAGCTGTATTCACCTTGCAGGTGCAGCTATGTGGCTTTGATCCTGGATAAAGTGTTTAAGTCATGGATGTTTAAAGTTTAACTTCTTCATGTGTCTAATATTATAGTTGACTTTTCATTCAGGAAGTATGACGCTGCGCTGTCAGTGCGCTTGTCCATGTTTGTGATTGGTCGAATGCTCCAAATACCACCCCTTTCATGTGAACGTGCACCTAACTAGATAGGACACGGCTGGCTTGAGCGATTCACTTGATAACCAGCGTCGTAGTACAGTTTAGCGAGAGCGCGTATGTTTTGGATTAGGCCAACCGGCTAACTCAAACATATCCAGGTTAGGTTGAACCAGCTTCGTAGTACAGGCCTCTGGTCCCGACCAGGTTAGCCGCACAGCATAAGTTACCATGGAGATCTAGCCCGCTAAAAAGAGAACCAGCGTCGTAGGACCGGAAACCAGAGTTTTCCCTGAAGTTAGCCGGCAAAGCGAAAATCCTGCTTCGTAGTACAGGCCTCAGGTCAAGTGCACCTGAGCCAATTTGTTGTTTGTATTTTTTTGCTCCGGTCTCTTTTTTGAATAGAGGGTGCATAACATTCAACTGGGGGTGCAATGTATGCCTATGCACCCCTGAAGATCCCGACGTGAAGCCTGAAGGGTAAACACCAGGTTTACTAATCTACCCGCAACATTTTTCCTCTGGTGTCGGAATGTCTCGCGATGTTAGTACATTCTTAAAAAACAAAACACCATTTCATTTCGGGTTAAAATGTGTTGTAACTGCGTTACTGAGAATTGTAACGGGTAATATATTACCCATATTTCATTAGTAATGCGTTAAATTACTTTGTTACAGCAAAAAGTAATATATTACTGTAACTCTGTTACTTTTGTAACACGTTACACCCAACACTGCTGATAATGGGTTGCACAGTGACACTTCAGCAGGTGTCACTGTCAGTGTTACAGTAGGGGAGATATAGTAACATCTCATCGTACCAACGATATCCAACCCTAAACATGAGTCTCACTTCTTCTACTGTCAAGTTCAACTCTCTCTTGAAGTTGTAGGCTTTGGCTGAGTCGGGGACGATGGCCTCCAGCATCCTCTCTTCGTAAACCACGATCCTGTTGTTTGGAAATGCAGCACAATTCTTTTTTTTAACAAACACAAAAAGTGCTTGGATTAAACTGTAACAATGAAATGTGTATTACCTGTCGTAGGCATGGATGTTGTTTTTAGTCATGGTGTGGACGTCATCGCCTATCAGCCAACGATAAGGAGCCGAGGAGATGAGGAGTGTTTCCTTCTGCTCCATGGAGAGATAATCTCCAGCGGCATTAAAGTCTCCCAAAATCATAATGTTCTGCGGAAGAAAGAGCAACACAACCAAATTCAGAATTGAAAAACACATTATGTAAATTTGTTTTAACTTTATTCATACTGAAAGTATTCAAAGCTTAAACATGTTTGCTTACATGAGAAACAAAATTAAACAAAACTATTTAATCTCTCAAAAACCCATCACTCAATATCTTGATAAACACAAAATGGTTAATGTTAAATGTAAAGATTTTACCACATTATTTTTCTCTCAATCCATCAATAATATTTTAAAAACGTATATCTTTCTTCCATTTTTTCCTCACAACCTCAACCACGTCATGAAGAGCGTTCAGCTCCGCCTCTGCATTACTTGGTGTGATGTGGACCGGGATCAACACCAGATCCTGCACAACTGGAGGCAAACACACACACGCCGTTATCGCAACCTAAATCTAATTTAATAAAAAGTATTTATCTTTAAACATTCCATTTATGTCTTTCCTAAAGTTAGGACCTCACAATATAGAAAGGTCCTGACAACTTAGGTTGCATTCACACCTAATAGTCCGCTTCTCTGATAAAGTCAAAGTTGTGGTAACCACCTATTAATACACTGGTTCATAATTCACACATGGAACTACAGTTGGGGTTTTGTTTCCACACGGACATGTTGTGTGTTGACTATATATGTTGTGTGCCCTCCTGGCTTCTCTCTCTTCTTCCCGGACTGCAACCGGACAACAGTATGTCCTTTTCTACTCTCTAATAAATTACCCTTTTGCACCGCCTCCGACTCCCTATCTCTCGGCACTACACTGGTGACCCTGACAACGTCTCGAGAAGTTTCCGGGACGGACCTGAACACGGCTAAAGGAACTCATGTTTCTTTCTCGAAATGCCGGGGATTTTTTTGGAATCGTCCGTGGCTGCCACCGGCACGCGGACTGAGGCTCAGTGCGTGCCCCGCAGAAGAGCTGGGGACGTTGCTCGCCATTCCCGCATCAGCCTTCCATCCAATAGGGGGTGATGCACGACCTGCTGGGTCGACCAGCAAACCGATTGCTACCTCATGGGCTGGTTTCTTCGGGGCGTGCGGCTGCGCTAGCTGACGACGACTAGCGGCTAACCACAAGGGGCTAACGACGGCTAGCAGCTACCCATGACTGCCAGCTAGCGGCTAACGGCTAGCTGTTAACGGCTGTCGACGTTTTCTGTTAACATCTGACTGTTGGCAATTTTTTCCGGTGCCGGAGAAGAGGTTCGACCAGCCGGTTGACCTCGTGTGGACACTCTCACCTTTTTCACCACCTCGACGGCGGTTCCAGACGCCACTCTTGTTTTCATCGGCGTCTGGGTGGTGCACTCCTGGACCCCGTCTCGCCTCGACGGTTTTGGACGTCGCCCACGCTGCCATCAGCCCATGGGCCGTGGGTGGCGCGCTCCGGAGCCTGTCTGGCCTCTCCTGCCTTCCGGGGATATCCAAACGCCACTCACGTTTTCATCGGCGCCTGGGTGGCGCACTACTGGACCCCCTCTCGCCTCGACAGTTCCGGACGTCGCCCATGCTCCATCGGCCCATGGGTGGCGCGCTCCGGGACCCTGTCTGGCCTCTCATCTGTCCACGGCTCCTTCCTCCCGGGGAGACTGCTCCTGCCTCCCGGGGATATCTCAAGGCTTGCCGATGATTTCGTGCCCGCCGCCGCTGTTTGCCCTCGTTAAGGCCCCTACCCTCTCCTGCGGCCCCCCTTTCGTCGGCCCGTTCCATGGCCCGGCCCTCGCCTGCGACCCCACCCTCCTCGGCCCCTGTGGTGCTTCCTCCACGGACGCGAGGATTTATTTTGCCATGTTTGAATTCTGGGGGGGCTTGTGTGGTGACCACCTATTAATACACTGGTTCATAATTCACACATGGACCTACAGTTGGGGTTTTGTTTCCACACGGACATGTTGTGTGTTGACTATATATGTTGTGTGCCCTCCTGGCTTCTCTCTCTTCTTCCCGGACTGCAATCGGACAACATGTCCTTTTCTACTCTCTAATAAATTACCCTTTTGCACCTCCATTGCACCGCCTCCGACTCCCTATCTCTCGGCACTACAAAGTCAACTTTATTGTCAATCTTCCAGTTTGTGTGTAAAAACACAGCAATCAATATAAATAACAGTCACTTCAATATTTTGAGAATGTGCATTAGAACGGACTATAAACTTTAAACACAAGTCATGTGCACGGAAATGCTGTCATTAAGGGGGAACAAACGCAAACCCCGGAAATTTCTACTGTAGCCTCCACCATGGAGCATCGGAAGGTTATTTTCATGCTGCTGTTAATGTGGAGATCAACAGACTCTAGTGGACAGCACATACGATTATATAATCAGACAACGTGCGATAAAAAAACATGACACTGAGAGACGTTCTGCAGTCAGGAGGAGGTTTCACCGACGACAGGTGGCTCTGACTTTTATGTATAGTTGACGGAGCATTTTTACTTTACACGACACTGTTCAACACTTCATCCTGCTTCACTCTTTAACTAAAGATTTTGAAGACATCCGCGTTCTTGTGACTCGTCGCATTCACAGCAGCCTTATTTAGTCCGGTGGAATCGAACCCTGGTGTCCTCATAATCCATAAAGGACACAAAACCCAAATTGATCCTCACAATGATAGTCTAAAAAACTAAAACACACACATACCTGTGTTTAGACAATTTAGAAGGACAGCGAAAGGCTTTCTGGTGATCACAGCATTTCCTCTGTACTGGTATTTGTCTTTTATCTGCACTTCTTTCTTTCTGAAACACAAAGCCACAAACATATACTGTATTATAAAGCTTACGAACACACATGTTATGTTTTGTTTGTTTATTAATGTATTTTTATTAGTTGGTGAGATAGCTCATAAACCACTTGAAGTTTTTCAGTAGAGCCTTGTGGGAAATGTGTGTAGAGTTTGGCCCAACGGCACAATGTGATGATTTGTAAAGTCTATGATGTTCTGGGTCTTAGCTACCGGACCATAGACAACAAATAAATTGTAGGACTAAAAAGATTGAAGTCAAGCGTCTCAAAGAAGAGTATGTAATGTGTCACAGATTATTGGTTCAAAAATAAACATTAGTGTTTTTGTCTTTGATATTCCACACAGTTTTTCAATCATAATTATCCAATTGAATGTGGCTGTTACCAATTTAACACATATTTTAATTCCTGTGAGACATAACATATAGCTCAATTGATAGGTTGATGTGTCTGGTCTGAATCCAGTTCGAAGACCATTTGCCGTCTGTCATCACTCCCCATGTTAGGTCTGTCTCTACAATAAAGGCACTGGTTGCCCAAAAAGGTATTTTAACCACACACAGGATTGTCTGTACTTGTGTTTCTGACCTGTAGAAGTAGACAAACTTCTGCTTGTGACCCTCCGGTCCCAGAGGTTCACTGCACAGCATGCCGTACGGATTCCTTTTGTTATCTCTGCCAGAAAACAGAAACAACTGGAACTGAAAATCTCTCACAATCATCAGCATTTGTTTGTATCATTGTAGATGCCCCATAATATTTAATTACCAACACTTGTTTTTAGGCAAAAGTGAAAAGAGGTGCTGCAGCACAGTGTGAGAAAAATAAAGAGCTTTCTGAACATTAAAGCATGTAAACATGTCACAGGACCCTAAAAACACATTTTGAACCTGAACAGAATAGGGCCCCTTTAAATGAATGTGCTGCATGCTTCTATGTGAGGAGAACTCACCCATACTCATTAAGGTGTTTGAGGAGCCGTGGCATGGCGGGGTCACTCTGATCCGTCACCTCCAGCAGCACCACCACGCTGTACTGAGACACAATCTGCAAAACACAACCACAAAGAAAAGAAAGCATAGAAGCATTTTTTATAAATGTTTTCAATGCATAAAAAACTGCTCCTTTCCTTTAATTTTCTCGCCATGTACAAAAACATTAACTGAAATATTACACTGAACAAACTTGAGTGTTTCAGCACGGTGAGTTACCTTTATGATATTATCCCGTACGTCCTGGTTGTTGACTTTATCCCATCCCAGTCTCTGGACATTGAAGGCAGCGATCTTCATTTTGACTAAAAATATAAATCAAATTAATTTCATAGATTTAAACCGATACACCCAACATATTATCAAGGCCAGTGGTGGACAGTAACAAAGAACATTTACTAAAGTACTCAATTACAAGGTATTTAATGAGAGTATACTGTATGTCCATTTAAAGAAACTCTATTATTTTACTCTTCATCCAATACCTGCTACATTTACTTACATTTCTCTATTGGGTTTCCATTTATGGGAGAAATAATCTCTGTCATTAACAAATGTTTATGATACTTACATGTTTGGTTCAGCAGGATAATCTGCACATATTAACACCACTTTAAGATTTTTGAAGAGTAAATGCAATTACCATAACACAAGTAATCCGTACGACATGGAGTGCAGTGAACCTCTGGGAAGTATAAAGGATATCAAAGTCAACTTTATTGTCAATCTTTCAGTTTGTGTGTACACTTGATTTGAAGCACAACAGTATCCTGTTGAAGGAACGATGATAATATTATACACAAGGGAAAACAAGGTGAATTGAACCATCATTATCAAAGCAATGATACATCTGTGCGTTGGCTGTAAGTGTCTGAATCAATTTAGATGTTGCTGTGTCCGAGTAAATTCAGACTTCACACTTTTCCCCATTGTCTAACATTGGGAAAGAGACGTCTGTAAATCAGCAGCAAATTTGTTTTAAACTAAATAAACTACCCAGTATTAACTATTGTATAGCACAAATTCATTAGGTCCTTAAAGTTGTAAAATGCGCTATCTATCTATCCATCTAACACAGTGATTGTAGCCTCTGCAAACCATTTACATGCACAACCACCTATTGTATAGGACACGCTACAGGACAGAGAAAACCCCTAAAAGCAGAAAGAGGCTGTGAATGCAGGACTTGTAGTGAAGTATTTTCATATTGTGGGATATGTACTTTTACTAAAGTAAAGGATCTAAATACTTTGGCCTTGTTTACAGTTTGAATTTTTTTTTTACACTTCTCCTTTTTCTCAGTGTCAACGTCATAATGTCAGGTGTGGCAGCTATCAGAAAAGGCATGTAAAAAGAGGCAGGAGTATACACACACACACACACACACACACACACACCAACAAACACAAACACAGGATTTGTCCAGGATCTTATAGGAAGAAGGGAAGTTAAATGAAAATGAAACTTATTTTGAGATTTCACAATAATGATGGTTGATTCACAATTCATAATAAAAATGTGGGGAAAAAGTGACGTGACAATTCTCAAGTTATCTTTCTATAATGCAGAAACAAGGCATTTAATGTGTATTATTATATATACTCTATAGGTGATTTATTATTTTATGAATGTGAAAGCAGCTTTTTACTGTAGATGATTGATGTGGTGTTATCTTTGATACTGTTGGATGATTTAATATATAAGAAATCCTCATGTTTTGTAATATAAAAATACATGTAAACATATCAAAAATTAACTAGAAATTAGTTCATAGATACCAAATACCTAGTGTCTCTCAATTTAATCAATAGTAAAAGCTGGACTGTGGGGTAGTGGTTGTGCAATGTTGCATCATGGGAGTTGTAGTTTTCTCCAGGATTCCATCAGTGTTCCTGGTTCTGTAGATGTTAGCATCTCCTTTGATATCAACTGTTAGATCAGCATGTTTTATCCATACACTGTATTATCCCCGACAGGGGCGGTTCTACGGGGGGGTTGCGATTCAGATGAGGCCCCCTCCGAGAGGTGAGGCCCCCCTCTGTGAGGTGAGCAGTCTAGGGAGGGGCGGGCCTGCCTACACACATACATGCAAATAAACCAGTTCAACAAGTCACACAATGCTGTCTGGCTAATGCAAATAGGCTAATTATGATACTAAAAGGGAAGTGTCCCAAAACATTAATGTGTATTATTATATAGTTGTTTATTTTCTGAATGTGAAAGCAGCTTTTTACTGTAGATTTTTGATGCGGTGTTATCTTTGATACTGTTGGATGATTTAATATATAAGAAATCCTCATGTTTTGTAATATAGAAATACATATAAAAAATGTACTGGAAATTAGTTCATAGATACCAAATACCTTTTGTCTCTCAATGAAATCAATAGTCAAAGCTGGACTGTGGGGTAGTGGTTGTGCAATGTTGCATCATGGGAGTTGTGGTCTCCAGGATTCCATCAGTGTTCCTGGTTCAGGAGATTTTAGCATCTCCTCTGATATGAAGTGTTAGATCAGCTGGTGGACCTGCCTACACCCACATGCAGGTAAACCATTTCAACAAGTCACACAATGCTGTCTGGCTAATGCAAATAGGCTAATTATGATTCTAAAAGGGAAGTGTCCCAAAACATTTCAGAAAGAACTGTTTCTGCCAGAACCAGAGAAGAGTTAAATGTATTTTTGTAACTAATTAACTGATAAGATACAAGAAGGGTTTAAGATATTGCTAGAGATATAATTTCACATACTTTTATCAGAAATAATGTATTCATTTATTCAATTCTGGTCTTAATTCAAAATCTTACACATTTATTAGCAGTACTGTATAGTGAATCATCAAAGACATTATACTTCTATTAGTGTTTTATTTCCATATGTGAACAGATAAGGGCAATGTCCCTGTGTGTGTGTGTGTGTGTGTGTGTGTGTGTGTGTGTGTGTGTGTGTGTGTGTGTGTGTGTGTGTGTGTGTGTGTGTGTGTGTGTGTGTGTGTGTGTTCAATTGGGATCAATAGGGTATCTCTCTCTCTATCTATATATCTAACACAGGGATTGTAGTCTCTGCAGATCATTTACATCCACTAACACCTATTATATAGAACACACTACAGAAGAGGGAAAACCCCAAAAAGCAGAAAGAGGCTGTGAATGCAGGACTTGTAGTGAAGTATTTTCCTATTGTGGGATATGTACTTTACTAAAGTAAAGGATCTAAATACTTGTTTACAGTTTTAAATGTTTACACCCCTCCTTTTTCTCAGTGTTAACGTCATAATGTCAGGTGTGGCAGCTATCAGAAAAGGCGTGTAAAAAGAGATGGGCCGGTTCTAGCCAATTTGATGCCCTAGGCGAGATGTTAGCTGCCAAAAATTTCAAACCTGTTTGTCCCAATAATTATAAAGGAGTGCCTTGGAAATATTTGTTTACATAAATTGTGATCAAAACGTTTGAGACCCACTGAGATAACTTAGACTAAAGTGAACTATCTAAACACTCGTCCTTTACTTCACTGACTCTCAGCCTCCACCCTTGTTGTAAAAACATCTTCTTCTTATTATCTGTTAGAGCAGCTAGCACCAGATGCTAATAACCGGTGTGCCCTCTCTCTCTCCCTCGCTCGCTCCTACGTCGCACTTTGTGAGCTGCGGGCGCCTGATAAGCCAACATCCCCCATTTTCATCACTTACAGCGCCCATCGTACAGGGCAAATGAAAAGTGTAACCAGGGTGAAAATGGTGTTACATTTACTTAATTAAGAATGTTGTTACATCTAGGCCGACAATTAGGATGAGTACCAACGGTCCAAAACATTTTTTTCCCCCCGAGATCTACCACCTATTTCGCCTATGCCAAAAACCAGCCCTGGGTGGGAGTATAAATACACACATACACACCAACAAACACAAACACGGGATTTTTCCTGGTTCAGGAGATTTTAGCATCTCCTCTGATATAAAGTGTTAGATCAGCATGTTTTATCCATAAACTGTATTATCCCCGACAGGGGCGGTTCTACGGGGGGGTTTGCGATTCAGATGAGGTCCCCTCCGCGAGGTGAGGCCCCCCTCTGTGAGGTGAGCAGTCTAGGGAGGGGCGGACCTGCCTACACACATACATGCAAATAAACCAGTTCAACAAGTCCCACAATGCTGTCTGGCTAAAATAGGCTAATTATGATACTAAAAGGGAAGTGTCCCAAAACATTTCAGAAAGAACTGTTTCTGCCAGAACCAGAGAAGAGTTAAATGTATTTTTGTAACTAATTAACTGATAAGACACAAGTAGAGTTTAAGATATTGCTAGAGATATAATTTCACATACTTTTATCAGAAATAATGTATTAATTTATTCAATTCTGGTCTTATTTCAAAATCTTACACATTTGGAACATAGTTATAGTGAATTATCAAAGACATTATATTTCTATTTATGTTTTATTTCCATATGTGAACATATAAGAAGGGCGGGGTCCATGACAGGTGCTCAAGCTATTTTGACTACCACACTGACCCGGGTACGTAATATTGCAACAAAATCAAATGTGATGAATGTATTCCACAATAACTGAATATGTACATGTTCTAGACATTGTAATAATCACAAGAAAAAACATTTGAGGCATTTTACTTACTTGAATCTGACAAATCCAGTCCAATAAAACAAAGAGAAGTTGCTTGTTTGCAGATGCGGAAGTTGTGTGAGTGTATGGCCAGAGGGCAGGACCTATACACACGTTTAATACCAAATAGCATAGTGAGGCTGAACAAAAGGACCTTTTGACTACGTACATGTAGCCTTTAAAAAAACAAAACATGTACTGACTCTTTTAGGATAGCTTAAAGTAATGTTGTAAAATTACAACCGGGGTCCTTACAGGGTTAACTATGCGGTACTATTCAATCCACGTCAATTACACATCACAGCAATGAGGCCAGATGAATTAAACCAGGATACATCCTTTACCGTCAAACTGGGTCTAAACACAGCTGCCTGTGCGTTTGATAAATACTTTCTGATTTTATATTTAGTATATGCTACTAATCAGCTACATGGCCCTAACCTGTAAAGTTATACAAGCATTAGTACCAGTGCTTTTCACAAGTAGACTCTTACAGGCCAGAGTAGCTGGAGTGATTCAACAACAACACAAAGACAAAGGCCATATCTGAGGTGATCAGGACGAACAGAAAGAGGAAAAGGAAAAAAGAGTTCACTGAAGAGACCAGGAGGGTGAGAGCAGGAGGAAGAGGAGGAGATGAAGAGACCAGGAGGCTCAGAGCAGGAGGAAGAGGAGGAGATAAAGAGACCAGGAGGCTCAGAGCAGGAGGAAGAGGAGGAGATGAAGAGACCAGGAGGCTCAGAGCAGGAGGAAGAGGAGGAGATGAAGAGACCAGGAGGCTCAGAGCAGGAGGAAGAGGAGGAGATGAAGAGACCAGGAGGCTCAGAGCAGGAGGAAGAGGAGGAGATGAAGAGACCAGGAGGCTCAGAGCAGGAGGAAGAGGAGGAGATGAAGAGACCAGGAGGCTCAGAGCAGGAGGAAGAGGAGGAGATGAAGGCATTAGTGAAGAAGAAGACATGTATGTGAGGAATAAAGATGCAGTGTCAGAAAGAGGGACAGAAGCAGGGATCAGGAGGCTGTGCCTGTTTGTTCTTCTGTCATCAGCAGAACAAGCCTTTAAATACGG